GCTGCAACAGCTGCTGCTGCAGCAGCAGTGCATGACGAGGGTTCTGCTCCTTTTGTTCCTCCTGCTGCTGCTCCTGTTGCTGCTGCTGCTGCTGCTGCTGCGAAGTTGCTGTGTAAGGCTCCTCACCTGCAGCAGGAAGCGGCAGTGACAAGAGAGACGCTAACGATGCAGCACTGTTGCTGCTGCTGCTGCTGCTGCTGCGAGCAGCCGATAGGCTTCTCGATGAAAGCTGAGAAGCAGCTGCAGCAGCAGCAGGACTGCCTGCTGCTGCTGCTGCTGGCCCTGACAATGGCGTCTTGTGCAGCGCGGCTTCGCCTTCGCCTGCAGCAGGTACCCCATTAGCTGCTGCTGCTGCTGAAATATCTGCTGCTTCAGAATTTGCTGATGTTGCCTCCTGCTGTTGCTGCTGCTGCGCTGCAGCTGCTGCTACTGCTGCTTCGTGCTGCACCTGACAGCTGGGGAACGAGGGCCCGTCTTCATCCATCGGGGTAGCAGCAGCTGAGCTTGCTGCTGCTGCTGCTGCTGCTGGTCCGTCAGCAGCAGGTTCCGCTACAGCTGCTGCTGCTGCGGTGACGGCGGTTTCTGCTGCTGCTGCTGCTGCAGTTTCTGCTGCTGCTGCTGCTTCCGCACGGGGGTACTCTCTGGTCATCAACAGCTTGCAGCCAGCTGCTGCTTCGCCCTCTGCTGCTGCTGCTGCTGCACAGACAGCGCGCCTGCTGCTGACTCGTGGGTAGTGAAGACACGACATGCTGCACTCCCCTGCTGCTGCTGCTGCTGTTGCTGCTGCAGCTGCTGCTGCAGCTGCTGCTGCGTGCTGCTGTTCGTCAGCCGGGGCGATTTCTCTCTTGCAGCTGAGGCGGAGGTCTTCCTCAGAAGCAGCAGCTACTGCGCCTGGCCCTGCTGCTGTTTCTGTTGCTGCTGCTGCTCCTGCTGCTGCGGAGTGCGTCTCCGCCGCCGCTGCTGCTGCTGCTGCAGTCGCAGCTTGCTGCACTTCTGCACCAGCAGCAAAAGCTGTGTCAGTCGTGCAGCTGCAGCCGCTGCTCGTGGGCCTCTCACTCAGTGCTTGGAGCTGTTGCTGCTGCTGCTGCTGCTGCTGCTGTTGCTGCTGCTGCTTGTACACTGTGCCCTCCTGCAATGGCATTTGCCGTTGTGCATGCGCCAAAGAGTTTGCTGCTGCTGAAAAGGCAGCAATCTCGGCCATTCAGTCCAAAGAACCGGAGCAGCAGCCGCAGCAGCAGCAGCTGCTGCAGCAAACGCGCAGTGACCGCAACAGCAGCAGCAGCAGCAGCAACGGCAGCGGCAGCTCAATGCAGCGCTGTCGCTGTATGCATGAGCGTTTGCTGCTGCGGCTTTGAAAAGTCGACCCGAAACGGTGACTCGTGCTGCTACTGCTGCCTGCTGCTGCTGCTGCTGCCTGCTGCTGCAGCTGCTTGCTGCTGCTGCTTGCTGCTGCTGCTTGCTGCTGTTGCTGCAAGCCAGCCCGAGAAGGCTTTGCTGGACAAAGTCAGGTGTATGTACACCTCAAAAGTGAGGCAGCAGCAGACACCACGGCAAAGAAGAAGTATTTGAAAAGGGGGAGAGGTTGGGCTGCTGCTGCTGTGGCCACTGCCGCTCCGGCGCTGCTGCTGCTGCTGCTGCTGCTGCTGAGAACAGAGGCTCAGGGCACATCCCTTTGTGCTTCCGCTGGAAGAAGCAAACGCTCTATTTAGTTGCTGCTGCTGCTGCAGCAACTGAAACGCAATATGAGACGTTTTCTTTTGAGAGCTGAAAAGCAGTTGGCACTGCTGCAGCTGCTGCTGCTGCTGCGCTGCTGCTGCTGCTGCTGTGCTGCTGCTGCTGCTGCTGCTGCTGCTGCTGCTGCTGCAGCCTAGGGACAACGCATGTGCCTCGTTCGAGGCTAATGTTCCCCTAATTCTTTTTGTTTTTGCAGCATTTTGCAATTAGAAGTGAACTAAATCCGGCGCTCTCCCGGAAAGCTCTGCTGTGCGCCCATCGCAGCTCGCTGTGGCAGCAGCAGCAGCAGCAGCAGCTGCTGCTGCTGCTGTTGCTACTGCATTGCTGCAGCAGCAGCAGCGACAGCACCGCGACGGCAGCAGCTTCTGCTGCCGGTGAATTGCTGCCTGTCTGAATTTGATTTTAATTAGTGTCTCATTTTATTTCTAAAAATGGAGCCCGCGTGGTAGCCGTATGGGTAGTTTACCGTGCAGCAGCAGCAGCAGCAGCAGCAGCAGCAGCCGCTGCTGCTGCTGCCGCTGCAGAACAGCATCGACGGCAGAGCACTGAGTAGAGTCTCCGCCAAACGACTCAATTCGCATTTGCTGCAATTAGACCAAACGACACCGCAGTTGGGAGTTTATAGACACTGTAGCAGCAGCAGCAGCAGCAGCAGCAGCAGCAGCAGCGGCAGGAGCACAGGCAGCAGCGGCGGGGGGAGCAGCAGCAGCAGCAGCAGCAGCAAGCGCCTTTTATTTAGCTACTGGAGCTAGTAGAGTTTGACTCAAGAAAATCCCAAGCCTTTTCTTCTTGCTGCTGCCGGGGTGTCTGCTGCTGCTGCTGCTGCTGCTGCTGCTGCAGCAGGGGTGTACATAGGCCTGGCTGGTGCTGCCCCTTGCTGCGTTTTGCTCGTGTCTTAGCAGCAGCAGTTTAAGACTGCTGGCAGCTGACTGCTGCGGTACGCTGCTGGCGGTGACGACTGTTGAGGCAGCAGTGGCAGCAGCTGCTGCTGCTGCAGCCGCCACCGCCGCTGCTGCTGCTGCTCCTGCTCCTGCTCCTTGCCCGCGCGGCCTGAATGCAAACTTTAGCTTTGCGAGACACCTGAGAGGCTCAGCGCGCAAACTGGCAAGTACTTGCTGCTGCAGCCACTGCAGCAGCAGCACTAGCTGCAGCAGCTGCTGCTGCAGCAGCAGCTGCGGCCTCCCAGCGCTGCAGCACCACCAGCAAACGCAACTCTGAGGCAAAAAAGCAGGACTTTGTAGTGCATTAAAGCCTACGCTGCCTCCCGGTTTGAACAGCAGCGGAAGCAGCATCAGCAGCAGCGGCTGCTGCTGCTGCAGTTCCTGCTGCTGCTGCTGCGCAACACTAAACCCTTCGTGTGGGGCGCGGCAAACGCACTCTTTGCACTTGCCTGCCTCTTTCAAATGAGAGCAGCAGCAGCAGCAGCAGCAGCGGCCGCTATCTGGCCTGCTGCTGCTGCAGCTGGCCAGCAGCTAGCTAGCCACAGCCCTCTGGCTGCAGGCAGCTAGCTGGGCCCAGCTAGCTACAGCTAGCTGAAGCTGCAGCAGCTAGCCAAGTTCGCAGCTACTAGCGACGACGTGCATGCCTCAGGGCGGAGTTCGGCTCCTAAGCAGCAGCAGCAGCAGCAGCAGCTGCTGCTGCTGCTGCTGCTGCTGCGCCTGGACTTCGCTTCCTCGCTTCGCTGCTGCCTCTCTAGCTGCGGCAAGCTGCGCAGCAAGCTAGCTAGCTGAACGGCTAGCCCCCCAGGCAGCCAGAACATAAGCTAGCTAGCCAGCTAGCTATATAGCTAGCCAGATAGCTAGCCCAACAGCTAGCTAGCTGGCTAGCCAAGTGGCTGGCTAGCCAGCCAAGTGGCTAGCTAGCTAGCCAAGTAGCTAGCTACCTAGCGGAAAGGCCACCTAGAATGTTAGACAGCCTATCTAGCCCACCAGGAAGCCAGCTAGCTAGCCAAATGGCTAGCTAGCTAGCCACGCACCTAGCTAGCTAGCCAAACAGCTAGCTAGCTAGCCAGCTAGCTAGCTAACCGGGCAGTTTCCCATATGGCGAGCCAAATAGCTAGCCAGCAAGTTAAACAGGTAGCTAACTAGCCAGCTAGCTAACTGAATAGCAATGGCTAGCTAAATAGCTAGCTAGCTAGCTAGCCAGCTAGCCAGATAGCTAGCTAGTTCAAGCAGCAAGAAGAGCGCGAGGCCATCTGCTGTAAGGCTTTAGGGTCTAGAGTTTAGGGTCTGGCTGCTGCAGCTAGTACCTGCTGTGCTCAAAACCTTCTCCAGCGTTGCTGTTGCTGCTGCTGCACCCAGCAGCACTTGCTGTACTGCTGCTGCTGCAGCAAGCCGTGCAGGCAGCAGCAACAGCAGCAACTGTAGCTCCTGCCCTTGCTGTTTACATAATTGCAGCAATTTTATCAGTTAGCAGCGTCGCGCAGCTCTTGCTGCAGCAGTAGTTGCTGCAGCAACAAGCGCATCTAGTGCTACCGCAGCTACTGCTGCTGCTGCTGCTGCTGCTGGTTGAATCTGATAGCTGCTTCTTCTGCCAGCTGCTTTGCTGCTTCGAAGCAGCACCTAGCCGCACTGCCTGCTGCAGCAGCCGCTGCTGCAGCCACTGCAACTGCTGCTGCAGCTACTGCTGCTGCTGCTGCTGCTTCTGGTTGAATCTGATGGCTGCTTCTTCTGCCAGCTGCTTTGCTGCTTCGAAGCAGCACCTAGCCGCACTGCCTGCTGCAGCAGCCGCTGCTGCAGCCACTGCAACTGCTGCTGCAGCTACTGCTGCTGCTGCTGCTGCTTCTGGTTGAATCTGATGGCTGCTTCTTCTGCCAGCTGCTTTGCTGCTTCGAAGCAGCACCTAGCCGCACTGCCTGCTGCAGCAGCCGCTGCTGCAGCCACTGCAACTGCTGCTGCAGCTACTGCTGCTGCTGCTGCTGCTTCTGGTTGAATCTGATGGCTGCTTCTTCTGCCAGCTGCTTTGCTGCTTCGAAGCAGCACCTAGCCGCACTGCCTGCTGCAGCAGCCGCTGCTGCAGCCACTGCAACTGCTGCTGCAGCTACTGCTGCTGCTGCTGCTGCTTCTGGTTGAATCTGATGGCTGCTTCTTCTGCCAGCTGCTTTGCTGCTTCGAAGCCGTGCTGCACTGCGCTGTAAGCCCTAGAGGTTGGCTGCGGCCTCGAGCGCCGCAGCGCCACCCACGAAGAAGTGACATTGTCCCAGAAGACCCCTGCAGCAGCAGCAGCAGCAGCAGCAGCAGCAGCAGAGAGCATACATGGACAAGCGCCACGTGCTGCAGCAGCAGGAGGCGTTCAGATATGCCACGTGGTGCAGCAGCAGCAGGAGCAGCAGGCATTCACTAGTGCCGCTTGCCGCAGCTCCAGCAGCAGCAGCAGCATTGGCAGCAGCGGCAGCAGCAGCACCTGCTGCCGCTGCTGTAAATTTAATTTAAAATTTACATTTAGTTTGTTTATTTGCTGCTGACCTGGGATGTCACTCTTGTGCACGGGAGGATCTAAGCGGCCCTCAGCCTGCAGCAGCAGCAGCAGCAGCAGCAGC